AAAAAAAACGGAAAACACGAAATTTCCTCGAATAAGCACCCACATTGCAATAATTGCTCACCCTCTGGGCACCTCCTCCCTGATTTTCTTAAAAAGTAGCGATATTGAACCTGTTACTATTGTCACTTTATTCAAAACGTTTTTAAGCTTCAACTACACTGGAGTCAGTACAGGAGAATAATAAGTGCCCCCCTCGATTAAGCGCCTTCCTCCATAATACGCCCCTTCTTTTAGCTGAAATTTTGAACTAGCGCCCAGGTGCTTAATCGAAAAAATACAGTAACCAGATTATAGAGATCTTGTTTGGACGTTTTCGTAATTTCAAACTGACCACTCGTACCTTTTTTTTTGTCAAGTATGGGCTTGGTTGATTAAGGAATGCATGCATTTTTCATCACCTTTTAAATCGGCGTTAGAGATATGTTATAATTTTAGCCTTTGACTATAAAAAGTAAAGTGTTCAATAAACATGAATTTGTGTATCTTAACCTTGTGTATCTTTGCTTTTCTGACGTATTAACTCGTTTTGAAATTACCAAAGTTTTTAGTTATATCTAAGTCACATTTGCTCCTCTTTCATTGTAGCTTAAACTACTTAGCTCTTTGAAAGGGCCGGAACGCCATGACAAAAAATGTTGATTGCGTAATATCTGGAAGATTTCCCGTGTCTCGAGGAATTGTTACAAATAGAACGAGAAGTGATTTCGAACAGTTTAAATTCACATTACTAATGCTGGTCGAATCACATTCTCGGAGTCTCCAAGCCACCACAGAATTTACTTGTACAGCGGACAAGCAGATTGCCTGAAAATTTCAAACAGGTCTCATCTAAGAATTTGCACTCTGAATTCCATCTTAAGATTGAAAGATAATTTCTGAACAATTAGGGACAAATTCATCATTATGAACTCGTTTTCAATGAGCAACTGTTCATAACCGCAGCTGTAAGGTCGCTTGTTAAAATGTCAGCAGTTTAATAAAGTCTCGACAAGAGGGGATCCTCTCTTCAATTTCACTTAATCTTTGGGTTTTTTGAAACAACTGCCTTTGTGAGGCTGTTAAAGATCATTATTTTATAGTAATAACTGACTTTACTAGGGGTGAGAGATTTAGATTGAGAGGAAGTATGTCTTTGGAGTAATACAAATCTGTATCTCGGCTGAGACTAAAAATGGCTTTGATTTTGTGTTTTTCATTGTACGTGTTCCAACTCGTCTGGATATCTTATCTGTTGATGTAATTCAAGGTCAAATACTTCAACGGATATAATTTTTTTAAAGGTAGGTTCTGCATCAAGTTAAGACATGTTTCTTGTTCGCTGACCTTCATTTGAAAGGTTGCGTTCCTGTGTAAAATTACGCAACTTGATTCCATTTTTCGCCAGAATTAGCAAAAGAAAAGAACATTTCATTTGATAGATGTAAGAATTCAAAGGCATATAAAGAAACTTTAAATGCAGCCTCGTCGAGGATGTTTCCTATAGCTTGTAAAGATTTCCATGTGTTCTTTAATTTTTGACTAACAAAGCATTTCTTAGTAAGAGTACAATTGCTAGACAGTCAAACCGAAAAGAACCCCCACTCAGATAGAATTGATATCTGTCATTCAAGCACTTTAGCCTTAAGCAACCTCTCACTCGTTCCTGTGGCATTGTTCATTTACAAATGGTTATGTTCACTTCAAGATATGAGAGCGATCATGTCTTTTAAGAACAAAGGCGTGTTACTCTTGAGTTGGTTCTGCTTATGCTTGCCAAGCGTGCGAGGTAATTTTTTGTTTTCAATTTCTTTACTTTTGCGATGTATTCCAATGCGGTCTTTATTGCCTTTTTACAATCGCTATGTGTTCCAAGACATCTTCAACGTTCTTTCCACTGAGAAAACAAATGCCACTCCTGCTTATTAGCTAGCTAAAAATTGTCGAGTAGAATCTTTATCTTTTGGGGCCATGATTAAAGATGATAAATCCAAGGTGGATTTCCTTAGTAAATCAACTTATTTTTGAGGATGGATGGACGAATGCGTTCGTCTCAGTGGAACGCGTATGACTCCACCTTTCATTTTCTCTCTTTTCGCGATGCCCAAATCTTAATCAGAGTAAAAAATTCCTACCGGGTTTATGGGTAGAGTATCACGTCTCACAGCCTCTATTAAAATATTCAAAATTCTGCTTTCAAGCTTTGAATTGACAAAGATGTATAATGAGGTGACCAAGGGACTGATCATGGGTCTGATGGGTGGGGCACAATTGGGAAGAACTCGAGCATAAAGCTCTGTATGGATGAAGAGGAAATACTTGCAAAAGACTCGTTTCTACAACTGTGAACCGAGCTTTTTCTTTATTAAAAGGTCTTAGATATCTTTACATCTCAAATTATCGACAAAGTTTACTTTTCTTTCTCTGGTAAATTCCACAAGGTCGTAGGATTGAACTATGCAATTTGATCGGCTCACGAAAAATTGGCATTAGCTAGCAAACTATTTGCACATGTTTGACCAGGGATATTTGCCGACAGCGGATCCAGACATTCAGTGGAGTGGAATACTGAGTAAATATAAGTTTACAAAAGAAGGATGCAGCCCTAACCAAGTAAATTTTATTTTTACTTCTAATTTGCACCCGAAAGTTGCGTTGCACGCTTCGTTATCCGTTTTAGTACTATACAAGATTTTCGATTTTTAATTCAATTCAGCTATGACACGTTTTTTAGATGATATATGCGGTCATCAACTTGGGCTGTTGGAGTTGAGCAAGGTTTGAAAACTGCTCTAAGTCAGCACTTTTCTATCGAGGGAATTTGACCACTACTAACGCAGACCAATACTGCGTGCATACACGGCATACATCAACTTTTCGTGCAAACTAGAACCGACGAGTTAGTTAGTTATATTCCACTCTGCTTCAAACTTTGAGATGACAGTTCAAATCGAAGGACCAGATTGACTTAATCTGATCAACGCACAGAACTCAGGATTCATTTCATCGATCCTTACTCAGCAAATTACTTTTAATCAGCGATTTGAGTGGTTCTAAGGATGCGTTATTCTTAAAAAAGAAAACTGCCTCACTTTTTCCGGCTTATTTACCTACGAGACAAGAAAATTGTAACCATTTATCGATAAATTTTGGCCAGACAAGTGTGGCAACTTG